CCAACAACATAGCCATTACGCTAACTGCTGGTCCCCCCTTTTAAAAGTTCTATACTTTCAGGTTTTTACAATGAGTATGTTTTATTTTTATAATAAAAAATTGGAAATGTTTAACATTTTTAAATGTTATTATTTTATTAATGATAGTGCAGGCATGCAGAAGAGAAAGAGAGAAGCACTCTTGCCAGGGTCCCATCATGCTTCACTCCCATCTTCCTAGCCCTCCAGCTTGTCAGGATCTTGGGCATGTGCATTCCTGACATGCTTTCAGTCTGACTTGGGGATCTAAACCTGGTGATGGCCACATGGCTTCTAGGCTGCAGATCGGTTTGCTACCGACTACACCAGCAGGCTGGACCTGCATGCCTGAACTCAATCGACCTACAAGCCTCTGCCATTATTGGCCCTCTACCAGGCGCTCGTGGGTGTGAGGCTGGACACTGGCCCCACGAGGACTCATCCCAGACCCTGATGGCCGTGAGCTTTGCTAGCAAAGAAAGTGTCCTGAGGACCCAGGCTTGCAGAGTGGCTCCACTGACTGCCCTACACTGGCTTGGGGCTCCCAGTGCCAGCCAGGGTATGCCCCTGGAGCACACACGTGGGCCGAGCCCTGCCAAAACGATGCCCAGCACTGTCACTCAGGCATGCAGCTGCCTGGGGCCCATTCACGCCTCATCGGTGCCTGCTCAGTGGACGTGCAGGAGCACATCAGGAGAGCTTCTCCCTGTGTTTTGTGCAGAGAGCAAAACGGGGGAGAACGGCTGCACCATGCAATGCCTACCACCTGGAGGTCTGCTCCCAGCGCGGAGACATCCAAGCAACAGCCTGCTTACAAATACACGAGCAGCCTTACATAATCATGGGAAATGAGAAAAAGCGCGTTCGGAAAATGCACCTCCCCAACCTCCACTGTGTTTTTTTCAAGGTGGATTTTTTTCTTTTTAATTTGCTAGAAGGCGTATATACTCGATGGAGGCAGAGAGAGGGAAAGTGAGAAAGCTTCCATTATGGAGAATGATCATGCCAAAAATCCCTTCTCCATCCCTCCTTTCAGGATGCTAGAGCACATACCCATATGCCCAGCATGTCTTTCAAGTCACAGGTCCGGAACTGAAACCTCACTGTCAACCACGTGAGGCCCAGTTGCCTTCACCACGCCATTGGCTGACCCTTTAGTTGGAATTTTTTTGAAAGGTTGTTTTGTTTTTTAGAAAGACTTTTGCTATAGGGCGCGTGTGCTTGCCAGAGAGACATAAAGCAAGAAATGATACCTCAGGGGGGATGGCCACACCACACTCCCTTCTCCTCCTTTCTCATCTTGAGATCTTGAGCATGTGCATGCGCCCAATGTGAGTTTTAAGCCGCTGGATCCGGGACTCAAACCGTGGGCAACTATGTGGGAATACGGCGACGTAAACATTTCGCCATCTGCTGGTCCCATTAAGTTGGAATTTTATTGGGTGTTTTCTATAGAAGTTTATAGAAGTCAGCTGCATTCCTTGTTACTAAAAGCCAATAAAAGGGAAACATTAAAGAAACTCAGTCTGCTCCTCCCAAATACCCCCAGCACGGAGCCTGTCCTTGGGAGAGGCTCTGCTTTGCCTATATAAACTGAGGAACACATGCACACACATGTACGCGCGTTTTTATTTACTTTTAACAGAAATAGAATCACCCTCCAGCTGCTGTCCTGTACCCTGCTTTACTCCAGTCACAAGGAGTCGAAACACCACGTCTGTGTGCTCCATGCTGACGACAAGTGCTCGCCCAGTCCCAGAGGGAACTCAGGCAGGTCTCGAACCCCACTGTCACGGGCATGAGCACGGCAGAGCCTTCGCTGTGAGAACCCGGGCATCCGGCCAGGGCCCAGCACTGACTGCAGGAAGGGCACCCTAGGCCCAGAGCCCAGCTGGGCCCAGGCATGCAGGCTCTGTGGGAGACCTGCCACCTGCTGCCCAGGGCAGGGCGAGACACTGAGAAATGAGAGAGGGAGCTGCCAGTGAGTGAGTGCTACGGAGCCGGTGTGTGTGAAGGTGCGAGTGTATGAATGTGAGTATAAATAGGTGAGGATGTGGGCTGCGGGTGGCATGGGGGTTAAGTCCCTGGACTCTCGCATGACCAACTAGGTTCGAGTCCTGGACCTGGTGGCTTGGAGGCTTGCTTGCTTTCTCTCTCTCTCTTTCTCTCTTTCCTCAAATAAATAAATACAGTTAAATAATTCTTTACATAAAATATATGTGAGGATGTGTGTGAGAACTGTGAGGGAGTAGAAGTCTATCAGAGCTACCCTAAGTGGAATTTTACGCGAGTGCGCGTGTGAGTGTGTGTGTGTGGGGAGTGCGCCGTGCAGACCCCCTCTGGGGGCGGGCCAGAGGTGGGAGCGTCAGCCCGGCCACGCCTCCCTGTCCTTGCCAGGTGCGCCTGCGCGGTACTGTGTCCCGCCCTTGCATTTCCCGCTGGAATGCGACTCAGAGACTTGTGTTTGCACATTCCTCTCCAGGCAGCTCCGAAGGCCCTTCAGCGCTGTCCTGGTGACCAAAAGCCAGTACCCTAACCGCCCCCAGCACCCCGTTCCCCTTCTAGTCCCTTTCATGATCCTGGAGATCCCTGGGAAGCCGCCGGAGGGGCCTTTCCTAGAGGGGATTGCACGGCCTTGGCTCCCCACGGGGCCCCTCTCCTGAGGTGCTGCGTGGTCCTGGGGGCAGCTCCAGCTCTGCATATGGCTCTGCGCTCAGGTCACTGGCCTTGGCTGGCACTCGGTCCTGGCAGCAGGACATCTGTGCCACTGCCTACCCTCTAACAGAGCACCTTTGTGTCCCAGCTCCTGGAAAGGCTGGAATGGAGAGCACAGGCCTGAGCGGCCAGATCACCTTCCCTGGGTCTCCCATGCCCTCTCTCTTTGGGTGAGCTCTCAGGAACCTCAGGCGCAGGGCGGAGCAGTATATGCTGACAGGTTCTATGAGAGTGTCTGTGATTCCTGTGCCACTGCCTACCCTCTAACAGAGCACCTTTGTGTCCCAGCTCCTGGAAAGGCTGGAATGGAGAGCACAGGCCTGAGCGGCCAGATCACCTTCCCTGGGTCTCCCATGCCCTCTCTCTTTGGGTGAGCTCTCAGGAACCTCAGGCGCAGGGCGGAGCAGTATATGCTGACAGGTTCTATGAGAGTGTCTGTGATTCCAGTCCCCAGGGAGCTTTATCCGTCTGGGGACTGCAAAGGTGGGTGTCCCATCCGTACAGACCTGGAAGTAAATCCAATAGTTTTTCAAAATATTTATTTATTTATTTATTTATTTATTTATTTATTTTCTTTCTTTCTTTCTTTCTTTTTTTTTTTTGGAGAG